ATGTCTTAAGCTTTCGTTGCCAATTACTTACAACCTGTCTCTTATACACATCTAGATGTGTATAAGAGACAGCTGTTCACCATGTGAGGCCCTAAATCTACGCTACATGAATGTAAATGCTCCGCAAATGTAAACGACTGTGCTGTTAGCCACAGCCAACTGTTAACAGGCCACTCACGTTTATTAAAAACTTAACAGAACAATATTTTTAGCCGTAATATAAGGGAGTGCGAATTGTTATTAGTAACCCTGTTGGAAAAAGTGTATTTTGGCATACTGCTTCTGCTTTAGCATATTTTTCCCGACTAAAAGTTGACTTTCTTGGTTTTTTCTATATATGTAACTGCTACTGCTATGTATATTAATGTTTATGTATCATGTTTATGCATAATGTTAATGAAATCTGTAATAAATCTTAGTAATAGAGCAGTTTAATTTGAGCTATGTTGTATCACTTTTTCTTGATGACAAACTAAAATAATGGCAAAAAATAGAATAAGCGTTATATAATAGCTGCAAAAACAACAAAATGGTTGTATGTGTTTTGATTGTGAGTCGTGAAAGAACGAAAGAAAAAGTTGGTCGAGAAAATTTTTTAAATTAGATAGTCTTCAATAGAAATTAAATTTTTATTTAAATTATTTGATATAACTAATCAAAGTGCATATAAATATACATTTTATTTTATTGAAATAAACTTTTTATTTATAATAAAAAAAAGGTACGTTAAATTAACACTAATACAACCATACATACACATGTATGTATGTGTGACCTCTACCAGAATATTTATTATTAAGAATATTCGCACTTAAATAAAGCATTTAAATATTTGTAACATAAACATATGCTTATACATACATACATGTATTTAAAGCTAAGGGYTTTAGGCTTTTGAATATACATACAGACGACATTGCTTGGCTTTTTAAAGTTTGCGCTTGCAAAAATATTTTAAAATATATTAAGAGTGATAAAAGAATCTATAATTTTGTATTAATCTTAAA